TTTATCACAGCCATGCCTTGACATTTTGATTCCCCTGACATAGCCTCTCAAGTAGCCATGATTGTGTGTTTGCACCACACAGTCCAGCTAGCATTAAATCTCATTTAGGTTTCAGAACAAATGTAAAGTGTGTGTGTGTGTGTGTGTGTGTGTGTGTGTGTGTGTGTGTGTGTGTTTGTGTATGTGTGTGTGTGTTCATTTTAAACATTTATTGATCATGTACCCATGGTCTATTAAATCTACATATTCATTCCTGTGAAGATGATCTGCTTCTGAGGCTCATCTGAGAAAGCTAAGATAACTGGACCAAAGACTCTTAACTAATAAGAATCAGAGACAAGCCTTCCTCTGGTTGCTTCAGACATCCTTTCTTAAGTATTATGCTCTATGCTATTTTCTAAACCTTGGAAATCAGCTGCAGATGTACAGAATCAACAGTTGCATTTTCATGTCACAGATCACAGATATGCATAAGTAGAAACTAGATGCATACAAGTGAAACACAGCACAGGAGGACCTAGTGAACAGTGGGCTAGACCTCACTGTGGATCTGGGCATTCCAGTCTCACAGGCGACTCTGGGTTGTGTTATGTGAGCTGCTGGGAGTGGTTTATTTTGAAATCCTATGCCTTGTTTGTGTGTAGTCTGTTTTTATGTTGTCCCTTACTCTTTGGGTCTTCAGCCTTCGCTGAGAGCTGGCTGCTTTATGGAACTCCTGGGAGGATCCTGCTATGATGAAATGGCACTGGCTGTGCTCCTCACCTCTCTGCCAGCTTGGGTTTATTTCTGTACAGACACAGATTTGGCAGGCCCTCCTGTTGACAATTATAGGCTAAATCCATTTCAGGCTGTTCCCCAAGCTGGGCCCAGAAAAGGAAATCAAAGGAAAGGATATGGCAACTGAGTTAGGAAGAATAATCTGCAGGGACCAGGGCTGGGCTTTAACTTTGAGGGTGTTCAGGGTGGGAATTATTATGGTGGAAGAGTGGGACAGATAAACATACGTTTGCAAGGATTTATATTATGATATGAAATGTCTTCTTAGACCAGTTTTAGATGGCAAAAGAGTCATCAGAAGCAGCCTGGGGGAGTGTTAGTAGGTGAACTACTTTATTTTGTTCCTTGTCAAACTGTGTATTGTTATCTAAAGTTACATCAGTTTCATATGCTTCTTCATCATTTTTCTCATGGTGAAAGAAGTGTAATATCACTTATGTACCAAAGTGCTGCAATGAAGCTCATAACTTTGTATTGTAACCTAAACATTTTTAATTTAAAAAATGGTCATTGAGTCCAAGAGCCCATCTTACTCTGATAAACATTAGAACAACTTCAGATGATAATGTTGGTCCATTGAGCATTTTATTAAAACCTCCCAGGAAAAGAGATTATGTACTACCTCTCCTTCATCTTCACCAAATATTCTTCACACCAATTCCTCCATGGTGTTTAACATCAGAGGGGGGAGCAAACATCTGAGGCTAGGATCAGAAATAATGTGCGGAACCACTGGTCTCTGTAAGGACTATGGCACAAAGGCACCATGGCTCCAAATTACTGAATTAGAGCAATAAAAAGTTAAAGCAGACACATTATATGAACAGTTTTGGATAGACTACTGTAATACTTCATTGCAAAATTTAGTGTGAATAAAGAACCAAGTGGAAAGGCCTGAAAATATGGCTTATATATTCATATTCTGGCCATGTTTTATTATTTGCTAACATTGGTGTGGTAGCAGGAATAAAAGAAGTCCAAACCAGATGAAAGAAGATAAACACATACAATGGACAAAGCTATGAAATGACAATGGGAACTCCGACTATGGTCCTGTTTCCACCATAGGTTTAGAGACAAGCTATCCTCTCTGAGCTTTCACCTTCTCACATGGGCAGAATTACAGTAGATTTAGTAACAGCCTGCTATAGAAAGTTGATCTGAAGATCACATGAGATAAAATATGTAAAGCATTTTATAAATTGGAAATTAGTATCCACATACCAAGGTTAATTATTCTTTCTTAATCCTTCCATTTCTCTCCCTCTATACTGAAAGAACAGAAAAAATGTTGGCACAGGATAATGTTCTGTTTGGAAAGAGAAGTAGTTGCCTTTGCACCCTTTGCTGCTAACATCCGTCACCCCCGCTTTGACAGCTGCTTCGAAGTTTCCAGTTGGAGAGGAACAAAACAAGGTTGGGTCAGCCTCCAATTCCTACTCAACCATGCCCTAAACATTATTAAAAAATTAACATCTCCTCTCTCAGCAGATGCTTGGAAAGATGCCATGACTGAAAACTCCCAACACTCTTTTTATCCTACTTTTCATACGGTTTGGATTTCTCCCCCACCCAATGGGAGCAAATTATAAAGCACAAGTAGAACATCAACATAGTTAGAAGGTATAGCCTGGGCCTTAGTGTGAGAAGCTGCTTGTGCAAGCTACTTCTCCTGCACAACTTGATTTCAACTCATAGTAAACTTGGAGCTACACAAAACATGCTTACTTTCTCAGTACCCAATCCAAAAAAGTTTCCCATTCAACAATATTAATAATAACATATTTTTAAAATCTTGACTTAAAATTGTAGTAAGTGCCAAGAGGCTGTAGTTGCTATTTTGTTGAAATAATATCAGATTTCCTGTGATGCTTTACATAGTTGTCATCTCTGTGATGTGATACATCCATGATTTATTGACCTACTGAAAGCGCTGTCATTGACTTGTCATAATAAGCTTTTCATAAAGTATTAAAGTCTAGAATGTTGTGTAATAGTTCAAACTAGAACAGAGGCTTAATCTGCTTATGGGTTTGGACTTGGTGACTTATACACCTTACACATGAATATTCTGCCTTGTTCCTATCCCATATCTTATTCCTCCTTCCCTCTGAGTGCCTTGTCACCAAAGAGGCTGGCAGAGAGCAGGGGATATCATGTAAAAACTATGAAGATTGAAACCTGACCTGCTGTGTCTAAGAGAAGTTGCCAACTTCAGCAGAGAAAAATCCAAACTTAGGATGCGCTCCAAACAACCTTGCCTTTGTGAAGAACATATCCTCTGAGGGGTCAAGGTGGGCGTTAATGTGTTGTGGTGTGTGTGTGTGTGTGTGTGTGTGTGTGTGTGTGTGTGTGTGTGTGTGGGGAATGCTAAGAAAGAGAATTGTATCTAACCACAGAATTTGAGCTTATTTCCATGGATATGAGACCAAGGGGGAAATTCTGAATGAGAAAAGACCTAGGGATATCTTATGTTCAAGAATTTTCTCTTTTGGGGGGACCAATGTCTATTTCTCTTGACCCTAGTGGTAAGGAGGCTGGTACTGGTGACATGACAACTTTTCTCCATTAGCATATTCTGGCCTTCACATCTCCAGGTCCAGATGGCTGATCTAACAGATAAGTGTGAGACACATGTAGTTCCGATGGATCTGAGGGGTGGTTGTTATTCATTTGTTATGAAGTTGAGCAAATAGGTAATGGCTCAAGTTCTCAACTAATGAACTATGAGGGTCTGGCCAAAATTGGGGGATGAGAACACAAGGGAGATAGGAGAGTGGTGAAAGGAAATTGGAAGAAAAGAAAGTACCAATGAAAACTCAACCAATGGACATAATAATAGGAAAATGCATGACTCATGTATGTCTCTACACACACACACACACACACACACACACACACACACACACACACACACACACACACACTAAAGCAAAAACAAGTATCCAGGTACAAATATGCATGGCCCAAACCACAATAGATTGACTACTGTAAGATTCTAACTTGAAGGCAGATTTAAAAATTCTGTTACTATTGTTGCTAATTTAGTTTTTATAAAGGTCTTCATACGTAGCCTAGGCTGTCTTTCAGTTTGTGGTGATCCTCCGGAATCACCCATGCTCAACTAGGAATACAAACATGCACACCTATGTATGTCTGGATTAGATCAAGTATAATATGAGCTATTATTATTATCTTTGCTTCCTATTTTGCACAGAAATTTTACCCAAAAGGAAAGTTTGGAAGAGATTGTTAAAATTCTGGAAAACTTTAAATCTTCATAGTAACGACTTTTTAATTGAGGAAGGAGAAAATTGAGAGGAAACAAATACTTGCCTCTAGTAATAGTTAATGTCTTCCACATTTACAGTTTCTGCATCTACAGATTGAACCAATCAAGAATTGGAAATATTCAGAGAAAGTAACTACATCCTTAAGGAATGTGTGCAGTTTTTTCACAGATAAGAATTTTTAAAAACTTGATTAAATTTGTTCTTTGACAATTTCACACAATTATGATCCATTCTATTTACCCAACCACCACATACACACTTCACAAATGTATACGATCCATTCTGCTTACATACCTCACAGACTGTTTACTCTACACATCTCACACATGCGTATGATCCATTCTCTTTACCCTCAACAGACCCTCTTATCTCCTTCACACTTTCTCATTTCCTCCCTAAAAATTCCTTTCCCTACTTATGTCTCTTTGTTTTGTGATGCCTTCATTTTAACCAAGACTGCCTGTGTGACTCTAGGTTTGTAACTATCCATTGAAACCTAATAGACTTATTATTGGGTACACAAATGAAGATAATGACTGTCCTTTCTCCAGAACCCATCAGTATTCAATGGTTTATTAGGGGTGTGATGGGGGAAATACTTCTGTGTATGTTTATAAATAAAGTACTTGCTTGGCCAATGAGACAGCAGGTTAGGCTGGACTAAGAGTCAAAGAGGATTCTGGGAAATGTAGTAGAGAAGTGGTGTTCCAGACAGGAAGTGACATTGCAAGGAGACTCATATTTAAGAAGAGGAAAAAGGAAGTGTTGCTCTCTCTTTCCCCTCGGCTCCTGCTCCAGCGGCACGATGTGATTCACCAGCAAGGAGGGACACCAATAAGGTGTCTGATAAGATAAGTCCCATAAAATATATAGATTATGATAATTGAGACTGAGCTAACAGATGAGAGTCCTAGTCATTGGCCAAGCAGCTTTGTAACTAATACAAGTCTCTCTGTGTATTCATTTGGGCCTAACTCGGGCGGTTGGCTGGCGTAAAGCTCGCTCGTGGCGGGGGGGCTCAGGCGGCTTTTGGCAAAAAGATTTATCGTAACAGGGGTGTCTATGAGCCCCTTTATAGATGATTTGAGAGTTTGTGGGAGTACCAAGTGTGATGGCACATGGGAGATGGCAATAGGTGGGCCTATATGAGTTTGAGGATTGTACATACAAAGTTTCAGGCCAGTTAAGACTACAAAAGTCTTGATAAGTAGCTTAGGCTGTGTTTGCCGTATGGGGGATCCCCTTAGGTGGAGTTACAAACATGCAAAGAAATTTCACACATGAGACCCTGCCTCAATAAACAAATAAATGAACAAATAAGTAATGTGCATGGGAGAATCACATAAGTTATATTCTAATACTACAGAATTTTATGTAAGAAACTTGAGCATTCATGGATTTGGGCATCCAGATGAGGTACTGGGACTGATCTTGTGTGAATACCGAGGAACAATTCTATCTTTGTAGTCTCATTTGATTTCTAGTTACTTTGTACAATTGGAAACATTTATATCTGAATACATGAAGAAAAGGATAATACACACAATGTGATCATGCTTGATTCTTCTAGAAATGTGAAAGCCAATAAAATGAGTGTGCCTGGAGCAACATATGCTAAACTAAACTTGCTTCCAGCAAAGTTAAAAAATTTAGGACACAAGATACAAATTTTATAATAAGAAAAACATTTGTGTTTAGTTTTGTAAAACAAAATGTGCTTAAGGAAAATTAATTTCACATTTGTAACACGAATATGAGAGGAAACAGAACTATACTGTTCTTATCCAGTATGCTATTTTGTGATTAATAGTAGTAGTGGTGCCACCGGATCAAAACAATTGAGTGTCATTCAGTTATTTTCCCTCAGAATATTACATAAAATCATGAAACTTGTGTTCAAGAATTACTCAGACAATGATATAGTAAATGTTTGAAAGCTGTCCTACATGGCTTTCTCTATTTATTATTTAAGATTTTAGTCAACTGTTTTTGGAAGTTAGCTTAACATGGTTAGTTCCTGGCTAGCATGTATGTTCAGACTCTTGAGACTAGACAGTCATCATGATAACTTAATATAGGCACTGTACCAAGCATTGTGAGGAGACTTCCAATTTTCCCTCCCAGGTATCAAATATTATTATCTTTTGACCTCTTATAATCCCCATTATCTGTTAAATGAAACTCATACTTCAGTAAACAAGTCTTAAGTGTCCTCATGATGTTTTCATTCCAGTTGAAAGGACTGATAAAATACGGAAGACAGTTTTTTTTTTCAAACTTAAGACCACTTAGAAACTGGATCAGAGTGAACAGAAACCAACCTGAAGTTTCAAATGCAACATAGTATGTGATAAAATTGTACATTTCAAGTAAAAGGAGAAAGGATAGTATGGGGCATTGAAAGATGAATGAGGTTGGGAAGGAAGGAAGTGAAAGTTTTTGAAAAGAGGACAGCAATAAGAATGAAGGATCCATATACTATTTTTTTTTCTGAACAAGTATAGTTTGATGCCAAGGGCTTATTGGGCATTCTGTAGGGACAGCACCCTTTCCTGGTCTCCTGCAACTTTCTGCCCTTCTTAATGTTGAACGAATGAGGAAAGCCTGACTTATAGTGCATGAGAGTGCAGGCCATATTCGTGTAGGGAGACACATCAAGGGTTGCCTTTACTGGCACTTGCAATCAATGCCTGTTGACAGAACTCTTTTTTTTAGAGCTGGAATCCTGGCAGTTCCACAGACCTTGCACTGGTCTCCCTAGGAAGCCTGGCAAAGGACATCAGAAACTTGCTCCAGTTTATTCAGAATGGCAGCTGATTGAGTCTCACAGAAACCAAACATCAAATGCAAGTCTCAGTTTTCTACTGAAGTTGTCTACCTCATGACTGAATTTCAAAGTTTAAAGACATCTTTTCCCCTTAGGGAAGAATTAGTTGGAAAAAGCTATGTAGGAAAATAGGTATCAATTCTCTGTTACTTTATTTTCACCAAATACTTTCACATTGCTGGAGGATTTGTAGATCTAAACAGAAACAAGGTTAGTTTAAAGAAAGCCAAGTAAAACCACTTGTTTGTTGTTTCGGAAATCAAACAATAGTTAGATTACATGATACTAATATTTTTTATTTTAAATTGTTTTTTAAATCTTGTGGCTCAAAGCCCACATTACACAGTCTTATATTAATTCCATAGATGGCATAATCTGTAAGAAAAGATGAAATGCAGGAGAAAGTCTGATACTCTCTAAAAATAGTACATGAGCTCTAGACAAATAACCATAGAGAAATACACTAACCATTGAATAAATCAAGGGAAAATGTGAAGAGTAAAATTACAAATTCAACAACGTGCACTGTGATTTCATGAGGAAAAGCATATGTGTCTTTTGAGGGGATCTAGTGTGTGCCTGCAGCACAGCGTGAGCTGATGTGCTTGCTGGATACATTGATATAAAACTGAGGTCATGGAGAAAAGCAGTATGGGAGCAATGGTTATTAAAAATGGGGGAGAGATGACTAAATTAAAATGGACCATAACAGGAAAATAGTCTTTATGGAAGTCCAGATAATAGTAGAGACACTTTCTTGAGCTTCATTCTTGCCTTCCCTTTAAAGTAGGAAGCCAGCATCACAGCTTGCTTCAGACATGGAGAAGGGGAGGAAATGGCCTTAGCACCTTATTTATCATAGCTGCAGAGATGTCAAAGTCTTGTGAGGCATTGGCATTAGAGGAATCATGCAGAGGGTAGAAACATTGGACTCCATTATTTTTGCAACTTTTCTGTGAAAATTCCAAAAGTGTCCTGGTCTTTCCTTTTTTCTAGTTACTATTCATGAGTCTGGGACTTAGACCATCAGCCAGCATCCCTGGTTAGTGACCAGAGGAGCTGTCCTTTTCTAAATAAGGGCAGATATGAGAAATGCCTTAGCCTTGATTATTTTCATTCATCTGTCTTTTACTTAGGTGCTATGCGGCCCTAAATATACCTATAAAAACTCAAGCTTATTTTTATTGGTAAGGTCTAGAGAAAGTAAATTTTAAAAATTAGAAATAAAAGCATAGTATTACCCCCCAAACTAGATTCAAATAACTATATAGAGGTAGGCTATCAAGTAAAGACAAATCAAGAGTAAATTGCCAACTATATTGAAATGCTACCAATCTTGAAGTTGTGTTCCAGATTCCTGAGTATAGTAGCTCAGAATATGCAGGCAAAGAACAAAGGATAAAAGATGCGTTCTATTTTCCAAAGCTTTTCTTTCATTTTATTGCAGGGCCCTGGGGTGGGCTCTGAGCATAAGCTCGCTGTTCACCAATCACTCGCTAATAACTGGAGCTGAAAGAGGGCTCTGCCCTAATGCCATTATGTTCAAGAGCCATGATTGATTGTGTTATAGTATGTTTTTGAAACCTAATTACTGTCTGAGAGAGTATCTGTACTCATTAATCTTTAGTCCTGTAAATAAGTAAAATTGACTAAATAACTGGATTTCTCTAATGATGGCTTAGGTTATCTTTGAACCACTGCCTTGCCCTACCCTCTTCAGAGCAGCAAATTATTTTCTTAATGGTAATTGCTCCCCAGTTTTGAAATCAATTTGTAAAAGTCGGCTTATAAAACAATTTTCCGTGTTGCCCTGTGGTTGCCCAGTCCCTGTTCTATGTTTGTGGTATAATGAGCACACCCCGTGAAGTGCTCACATCTATTGTGTTCACAGATGGCCTCCATGGTGGGGAGGGACACATCACTTAAGGAGAGAAGAGGCTTGAGAGGGGTTAGGTTTGCTTTCACCTTACTGAACTCTACTTCATTCTCACCCAAATGGAAAAAGTTCTATTTAGCACAACATATGCCATGTACTCTAAATAAGGCAATAATTAACACGACCACAATTTCCTTTTCTACTTCCTAATAACCAACCCAGGATAGCTAAGGTGTGGGATTTAATGATACATTTTTCTTTCTCTCTTTCCCACCCCATCTACTTACCATTTTATTACCCATTATAATTATTCCTTAGACAGTGAGCTTGAGGAATTGGATTATGTTATGTTCATATACACCAAGGGACTTCTTCTTCCAGACCAAATCAAGTAAAATTGACTGGACATTCTCTATTCTCACAACAGTTAGATATTAAAAAGTACAAAAAATTGATATTTTGACACACTGGATATAGCATCAAAGGACAATGATGCTGAGAGACAAGGTCAGATGAGCCCACTTCTACTGAAGTTACAACCTCAAGAAAATTTCCAGATGGTGACCTCGAGAGAGAAGACCCTGGAATGAAATATGGATGGAAATCCAGGGATCACAGGGCAAGGAACCAGAGAGGCAGCTGATATACAACGAAAATTCTATTATTCTGTGGAGGACCCACTTTGAATATCCAGTTAAAAATAAATCAGAACATCTACAAAGAAGCTAATCAGGAAGGCAAAACGTATTTAATGGAACCTGGCCATACAGGATGCTGCAACTGGTCATAATGATGTGAATAAGATGGCCTTAAATGAGGTGATCAGAATTTTTTCTATGTAATGGGGAATTTTGAGCTGAAATGTGAGAGATGACAAGATAGACCTTTGTTTAAAATGAATAAGGAGAATTCCCAACTGAATAACTGTCAGGCAAAGGGCTTTAAGGTGGGTCAGAATGCAGACCTTTGTAGAGCAATTTAGGGACCTATGTGATAACAATGCAATGAGAAAGAGCAACTTAGGGAAGATGATACAGAGAAGGGCAAATGTTACACACATAGGACCTTGAAGCTATCCAGGACTCAGGCTTCCTTTTAAGAACAGTGGGAAAACACTGGAGAGTTTTCAGACAGAATTTGAGATGACCCAGTTTACCATTTCGTTATGGTGTGCAGAAGGGAAAAGTTAGGGACAAACAGGAAAACCAGGACACATTTTGATGTGAGATGAGCAGTGATGGAGGGGTGGAAGCAGTGACAAGGTGAGGAACAAGAAAAGTTAGATTAGGCCTATAGTTTAGAAGCAGAACTTACAGGGATTGATTTGAAAGCTGGATGCCAGAAGGACCTAATGAAGATGGGCTATGTCCCAGTTTTGCCCGAGCTGAAGTTTCTTTGCATTTAGTGTTTCCATTAACATGCTTAACAATAACTATGGATGGCATGTATCAACTGTGGTGGGAACACCGGAAAGTGCACAACCATTGATTCATCAAGGACACTCTCAGTGAATATAAAAGAAAGAGGCCAGGAATGATGTGTGCTTGGGTCAAGAAGTATTTAGAGAAATGACAATGGCGAAGAAGGTGATAGTATTGTTTGAGGGACATAGGGTCAAATGCTCAGAGGAAGTGGTTCACATGGTTTTCAGGGAATAGCGAAAAAATCAGGGTGGCTGATTTTTTCCATGCAAGGAGAAAGATTTGTAAAGGTAGTTGTGGGTGGAGCTGAATAGTGAGATTAACTGTGCATGGCATGAACTTTTAAATGGCAACTTCCAGATAGAACAGTTTATCCTCATCATGGAGCTATTGATTCAGAGTGGAGAACTGATGTCATATACTATATGTTTCAGAGAATCATTTTAAGTAATAGTGAGACATAGCAAGTATTCATTGGCAAGATATAGACACAGTCTGGCACAAACAGTGAAAGCAGAATTTTAATATTTTGTGTGGTGTTTTTCCTACCACTTCACATCATGGAAGGTATTTTCTTATTCTCTATCATCTTTTCTTCACCTCTCCTCTTTATACTTGACTCTAAGTAAATGCACTAATGCACTAAGTGTCCTGACTGTGGGGATTCATCTGCAATGTGTGGTAGCTGGAACTTTCCCGAGATTCATGGGAACACAAAGATTTTTCAAACAGTAATATCCTTAGCCCTTGATGTTTTTCTGAAAAATTGTAGCCAACTCCCTGCCCAAAAGGAAACACAAGTGAGGGACTCATAAGGTGGGTCCTGTAGAGCCAAGTCCCCACTTTTCCAGCCCTGTGGACAGAAGGAGAGTCCACTGGAGAAATCTGCTGGAATCTCAGTGGTTGGTTCTATAACCTAAGGGTGTCACTGCCAATCTTCGATTCTAACCTCAGGTCTGGATGGCTGATAAGCCGTCTATGAGCTCAGAGGCAAATTGCTTCCAACTGAACCCCCTATTCCAAAGTATTCATCTCTGAGCTTCCAGCTGTGCAGTGAAAGGAAATGAATCATTTCTGAAAACATAACAACTGAATCAAGCCCTGCTGCTTTTTTTCCAGCTCCAACTCCAAGCTGTATTCAAATGAAGAACAATTGGCATCAGCAGACTTTATCTTCGCCTTTGCTTGCACAGTTCTCCTGGTAGTCTGAGCTTATCTAGTACACACACACACACACACACACACACACACACACACACACACTGTGTACACATGTGTACACACATGCATACTTCTCCCTTGGAAAAAAGTGCTCAATCTGGTCAAAGAATTCCTTTCTACTCTGAGGGGAAAAAGAACATTTATTTAGAAAGATTCATAGATCGAAATTAGTTTTTGTTTTGTTTTGATATTTTCACAGATTTTGGTCTATTTCATATACAACAGTTCCATTTCCCTATAAGGAATATATTCTTTAAATTTCCATCTTGCCAGTGACACTATTAAAATTTCTTACAGTTGATTCAGACCATAGGCTCAAGAAGGCAAGTATACATTTAAACCATTATATAAGCTGCTGATGTCTGGAGAAGGATTGTTTGCTGGTCATTATTAAGCCCCATCCAAAACCTTCTTTAAAAACAGAGCAGTAACTAAAATAAGAACAAGGTCAGTTTGGGAACCAGGTAGCCCAAATCATAGGGTTTTCCTATCTCAGTTCATTGTTGACCCAACTTCATTATTTAGGATCTATGGCTGTCTCTACTGATTTCTCTTCCTTCTACAGAGCGTTGTCAGTTCTTCTGCAAAGTCCCTTAACTATGCTGACCTAACTTGGAGGCTTCCTCTTCTGAGGTTACTCCTCTGGTTCCTCGCTGTTTTGGATTGCTAATTATACTTTCGTTTGTCTGTCCAACCTTTCAACCAGATTTAGGTAGGTAACTATCAAACATGTTGAGGCAGATGTTCATCTACCCAGAATCCCCAGTCATTTTACCTTGTTCATTTTACCATATTTATTAGCCTTTGTCTTTTTTTCCTTTAGAACAACAGCAGTAGTAAGTTACTCTCTAGAGTTTATGACTCTCAGAGCTTTTGACCAGGCTTTCAGAACCAGACCTAAATTCTTACCTGTGGAATAGGCTCAAATTCAATCAGAAAGTGATTAGCACTCATAACCCTTGTGCTACTACTGTACTCATAGGAACATTTGCCTGCTCATTGCTATCATGATGTGCAGGGCTAGCTTCAGGAATACCATTGGTATATTTTCTCTCTGAAGAGGGCCCTGGGTATCACTTTTCATCACTATGAAAGCTAGTCAGCAGGGAGAAAGTTTTCAGTATTTGCCAACTTTATTTCTCTATGTCCTGCAACTGAAATAGGTTGTATTTTCAGAATAAGATTTTACCATCTGATTCTGATGCCAAGAGTAGAGCAAAAGACATGTCATTTTGAGGGACTTCTTGAGGGTCTCTCTGTTCAGTAACTTATAGGCAAGTATCCCATGCCTGGTACTGAGAGATTTTCATTTAATAATTCATATCTTCTAGGGGAATCATTTTCTACCCTTGCAGGGTATCTGTGTTTGAGCTCTGTCTATAGTTTTAATTGTATTCTCAATTATCTTACAAAGTAGTGGCTTTCCATAGGGGTTTTTCCTATATTCTTAGTTTTGATTAACCAACCCTGTCCCCTTCTGTTAGTTGTTGAGGGAAACAATCTGTCTATTCTCCTCAACCATTAAGTATGTTTTGACTCTCTACTAGATACTGGACTCTATCCTAGACACTAGAGGTACAGTAACATATAGGACAGCATTTGTCCACTCTCTCAAGGAGCATACATTTTAGTAGACACTCAAAGTCAACAAATAAGCAATCAGGATATGTGGAACATGATAAGATAAGGTAGGGTCAAAATTGAGAATAATTTTAAGTAGGACAACAGACTACAGAGAGATAATAGTATCAGAATATTGGCAAGGATGGTCAGAAATCCTTTCAGGAGGTAGCATTTGTATTCAGATATACTTACAACAATTTCAGGGAATCTAGGAGAGAAGTTCTGTATGGTCACCATGTGCTGAGTACATTACAAGGTAAAGATACAAAGGCTAAACTGGAGTCTATAAAGGGGATGGGGCAAAATAAATGAAAGCTGAGTTTTGAGGTAGAAGACGTGGCCTGGAATATGAATGGATATTGGTCTTTGCTTTTACTCTTTTTGGGGGGGTATACATAAAGCACACAAATATTACTTGTTAAGTTACATGAACAGATACATTTCCCATCTAAAATGCAAAAGGCTTCTAATTTCTTCCTTTCTTTACAAACAGTTGCTAATATAATTATTTTAATTTCAGCCATTCTGATAGGCATACATGTGGAGGTATTTTGGGGGGTGGGAGATTTTTACATATATTGTTTGTATAGCATACCTACAACTTAAGTACTTGGCATATTGTATTCTCATAGATATTTATCATTATATATATGTATATGTAAACATTCCCCCCCCACACACACACACAATCTACCACCTGGATTCAATATAATGCCAGCATACGCTAGATGTCTTTCTTATCTTCTTCCAGGAGTGATTAATCCTTGGCACTTGCCTTTCATTCGCCACACAGAACTTCTGTCCCAGATTCTACCCAATTGTCATTAGCACACCTCAGTTCAAATATCACCCCCTGAGAAGCTTTCTGGGTACACTAGCTAAAATTTTCCCCAACTATCATGATACCCTTTGTCCCTTTGATTAATTTTGTTTACTTTTGAACAAAATATAAGCAAGCACTGCATGCATTCTTTTGGGTTAAGAAGAAGTGTGGCTATTTCACAATTTGTCTTACTCTTGATAGATTTTGCGTTGTGTCAGGTCTCAAGATATTATGACTAAAGCTGTTATAAACATCCTGGTACATGCCTTTGATAGATGTGTGTACTCAGTTAGAACATATTTGCTTATTTAACAGATGTCAGAAAACAGTTTTTTAAAGTGATAGTATCTTATATTCTTCTTTTAAAATGCAAAAAGGGTTCTGATTTTTTCCCTTCTCTACAAACACTTTCCATTATCATTGTTTCTAATTCTAATAGGCATATATGGGTATGATTTTTGTTGTGAAGACTTTTTAGGGAATGAGAAAGATTTTTAAATATATTTGTAACACATTTCTACATCCCAAGTAATCAATATATTGTCCTGCCATAGATTTTACTATTGTGTTATTGATTATGTAGTTTGATTTCAAAATTTTAGATTTCCGACTTCCTGGCTTACATTCCTTAATTCCAATACTATATTATTTTCCCTTTTTAATAATCCCAATAGCAGTGTAAGAACTCAAGCATGTTGACATTACATCATAAGTTCATTGTCTTTTAAGAAAGCAATATTTCATCTTTTATAGGGGATCCTATTCCAAGATAGAAAGGAAAATAGAAAACAGGACTTAGAACTTGAGAGGGAAAATCTGAATGAGCCTCCAGTTTAATGCAGTTTCCATTCTTGGAGCCAAAAGGCTGTGCAGTCAATACACAAAGGGAGTTGCTGGGGAGTGGGAACTGTTGGTTTCATTACATGCTCATTACACCACTGCATCAGGGTGTCTAGGAGTTTCGCCCTCATGATGAAATTAAGAGTGTTATCCTTCATTTCCTGTTTTGGAAAATAGTTTGACTTAAGAAAAAAAGGTTAATTGCATATTGTTTTTGTGAATTGGGTTGATAATTTTTCATATCATAATTAGCTAATTAGAATTCTATTATTTTCCAACAGCTTTAATGAGGTCTTCTACTTGGCAAAGAACCTGTGAGACCAAAAACCATTGCCATTTGTTAAAAGATGGAGAAACCCTGATGACAAGCGGATTTTTCATTGCATTTCAGTTAATAAGATTTATTTGTTAAGCTAATTATATTTTGTTGTCTCAAGTTTGACAAACTTCTAAAGTTGTCCACTTCTCTATGTCTCTGTTGCTCTCTTCACTCCAGCCTCTGTGCCCTCCTCAGAGAATTCGTGGCGTCTGAGTTAAAATAGGTGGAAAGAATCTCCGTTTCCAGCCGTGGCTCCCCAGCTTGGTTGGAATGCTCATCTGGTTGTGATAGAGGCTGCCTTTTGGCCAGCAGTTCTTAAAATAGCTCCTTGGCTTGTAAAGCAAAAAGAATTAGACATTTGAGCAGCTCAGAGTTTGCTCTCTGGATGCTTCTGGCAACTTGCTTTGGGGGGCACTGTTGCTCCAGCTTGGGAGTGCTATCCAGGCTCTAGTGAATGATGGCTCTCTCTTGCGCAATCTGGTATCTGTACCCCCTGTCAAGTAATCATTACAAATGTTTCATGTAGGAGCAAGCTGGCTCTAAGCAAAGGTCTGCCTTTTAGTAGAAGCATGGGCCTGAGGGGTGGGGCCCACTGTGTCCTGTCCATGGTAACATTTTCCCCTTTGACAGTGTAATTAAGTGCTAATTAACTAAATGAGTGTAAATGTTGAAGGTTGAGATAAATATCCACATCTTCTTAATCTATTTTCCTCTCCAAGATTTGATAAAGGAAATCTGGATTTAATGGAGGATATTTGTCAATTATTTTTTTAAGACCACAAATCTGTTTAGAAGGAACTCAGATGCACCAGTTTTAATTTCTACAGGAAAAGTTAACAGCATATAAATATAGGAGAGATACAATAAAATGTGGATGCAATACTGCAATAATTATGGTAAGGAGGATGAGTGAAACTACCTTTTGGAAACATCTGGTTTCTGTTTTTTTCATATCCTGCAGATGTTGCTGAATTGATGTAAAATACTGACGGGAGAATACATTAGCCCATGAAGTCACTCCAATGAATAAAGCAAAGACTAGCCTCTTAACTTTCTAAAAAATCTAGTTAGGAAAGAACCCTGCTTTCAGTGGAGGCAGCGATTAGGCCAATAATTGAGAGGGGCCCAGGGCCTTCTAAAAGTGTCAATAGTGATCTGTTCTTGCCAAAGGGGAAAAGAGATGCTTTGTGGAGGAGCTGCCTGGGTAATAAATGGGCATCTTTGTAATTCAGGCACTTTCCCATTACCTTCCATGGTGAGTGATTGGAAATGAGGCTGAGGAGCAGCCATGGGAAGCCCACTCCTGTGCTTGGCAGGGGAGCAAAAAGGCTACTGCCTCTTGCCCCAATTCCCCTGCCTGTCTCGCCAGCCTCTGGAGCTGAAGTGAGACCCGGAGTCACATACTCAGCTCTTGAGTTAGAGCAAGAATCTTGGAAAGAGGGTTCCATTTGGTTCAGGATAGTCAACACCCTTCCCAGGCAGGAAGTAGCAGGGTAGACATATGTATGTTGAACTTCCTGGAAAGCAAGGGATAGGCCTGGGAAAGTGGAACTCATTTAATGGGGTTTAGTTGCACATGAGATTAAAACCCCGAAATAAATGCAAAAGAAATATTTTGGCCTATACCCTATTTGGCAGGAGGATTGGGAGCCCGAAATAGTCCTCTGGCTGCCTGGGAACTCTGAACCACTCCCAGTACTGACATCACCACTTTGAGTTGCAGTATCATGCACATATTCAGAAGGTCCCAATTAAAATAACAAGGGTTTTTCTGGTAACCACCCTGGCCAACAAGAAGGGCATACCTATATACATACCTATATAAATGTACTTGTTAAACACACACACACACACACACACACACACACACACACACACACACACACACACACACACACACACACACACACACACACACACAGAAACAGCACTTTTCTGGTTCTCCTCTCAGTTGTCTCAGTTGTTGACCTTTGATGGCTCATGATAGCAGTATCATCTGTTTTGTTCTGAGACAAAAGGACAAATCTGTGTCATGGCTCAGAAAAGACTTGTTATGGTCTGCTCTGTGAGGCCTGGAGGTCCCCGGTGAGGGAGTCCCTCCTGGCCACACAGTCCTTCCACTTCAGCCACAAATGTGTGTGGATAACCCCAGCCCTTTCTCCTGCTCTACCATTTGGCCAGGCCTTCATTAGTGACGTTTTTTTTTCTTGCTGGCATTATATAAGCCTCATCTCTCCTCCCACTCAGCCCTTCTTTCCTTTGCACCTGGCTAATTTCTGATGGTGATTTATCAGCTGTATTTCTCAATGCCAGATTGTCAGGTTAAACTCAATATGGCCAGTTCTCGCTCCTTTGGGGGAATTTTGGCGCTAATGCAGAGTGCTATTTAAAGGATATTTAGCTTTGTTGGCAGTGTCATCATAATGGCTTTGAACATTTAGGTGTCTTTGAGAATGAGTGACATAGCTCCCCAGCTTTTTCTTCACTGATCATTTCTTTTCCATCTTTGGCTAAGAGCAAATGGTGAATCTCCTGATCCTCCCAGCGATAATGGTATAGGTGAGTACCAAAGTAGGATGTTGAGGTTTAGGTGAAGAAATTGATGCTCACAGGAACGGAAGAAATTTATTCAAGATCATACAGATAAGCCCATGAGGATCAATAGGTCCCAAAGGAGACAGATGAGAACTGTTCTTATTTTAGGGAGAGATCTAGAAGTCATGTTTCGTCTACCATGCACTTATTCAATTCAAGAATTTGATCGTGCAATCCAGTAGGCTGTAAGTTTTTATAGGAAGTAAAATGATATGGCAGATTTTTATATGAAAGATGAGATGGAACAAGGTGATAGAGAGTGCTGTGGGGAGGTGGGAGGAGGGTACGCTCTCACCTCCAACTAACTAGCCATAGCTGTGTGACATTGGTCAAATCACAGTATCATCTGTGTTTTCAGTGCTTCAAGTACAAAACAGTGTGGATTACATTTTTTTCTTGTAGGTTGAAATTTAATTATTCTGTAAATAAAAGCTGTAACTTATAGAAAGAATAATGGGCGTTGAATGTGGAGAGGGCTTTCTTTGAGAATTGATGTGTTTGGCAGAGAACACACTGTTAGTTAATATCACCAGAGAGGAAGGTGGGAAACCCCCAAGAAATATAACCAGTTTGCCTTGTGGAAACCAGCATGACAAGGGGCATTTCATATTACTCACTACACAGTGGCTAATTAGTCAAGAAGGAAACAGCCATTTCTTGGAAAGTCTCCTGGAAAACTGTATACTGATTTTTGACTACCTCAATTTGTTTCTGAGAATTGCAACTATTAAGGTAAAAAGTGAATTAACCAGCCAATGGGATGCTTCTAAATAATCTGGATCCTTTGCAAAACATGACAAACATCTATTCAGTTGATCCTACTGTCTGATAGAAAATTGAAGTTGCTCGCCTCCAGGTATGTCTGAATTCCTGTGAAAATGGGATGAAATGGGTGAGAAGTATCATCTATAAGAGACAGCTCAAAGTGCAGGCTTGCCTCACCCTGAAATTATAAATCTATCCTCAGGCAAAGCTGAGCTTTTCCTTCCTGTCTCTAATGCGTTCCATGACTCAAGAAATGTGTATTGGTGCAAAAATGGTCAATGCCGGCAGCCTCCAAATTCTTCCTACGTATCAAGAAGCCAAGGGACCTCCTGCTCTTTGGGAGCCAGCTGCTCCTTAGCCAAACATGGTCTCCCCCTCTCCTTGGAGATTTTCTTACTCCTTGTGACTTGTCCCTCTGAAAGATAGTCTAATCCTACTTCTTTCGTTTTTTAAATTAATTTTTATTTTATTCGTACGAGTGTTTTGCCTACATGTATGTCTGTGTACCATGTGTGTGCCTGGTGCCCATTGCAGGATGGAAGAGGTAGTTTTAACTTCTAAAACTGGGGTTAGAGATGATTGTGAGCCACTATGTGGGGGTTTGGACTTGAAACCCTGTCTCTGGAAGAGGAACCCATGTTCTTAACCACTGAGTCACCTCTCCAACCTCCAAATGCTGTTTACTGTTCCCCTTTGCTTTCTAACTATTGTGTAGAAGTTTTATAGAAACTGATGAAGTCAATGATAATTGTTAAATAAAACCACAACACAACACAAGCCTCCTTCTAGTCCAATCTAGGCCACCCTGCTCCCAAATGCTACTTTTCTTATCTGTCACTTCTTTTTCAGCTCCTCAAAGTTCCCAGTGTCAATTGGCTGAGGAGTCACCGGGTCTCAGCTTCTCTCTACCTTTTTGTTTCTTGAGCTACAGTTTTCATTGTAAAACTTGCCCTTTGTGATCATTCTTGGACACCACAATCAAAAGCAATAAACAGAGCTGGGTGTGGTGATACACAACTATAATCTCAGAACTCAGGAGGCTTTGGGGAAGGATTGCTATGAGTTCAAGCTCAGCATGGGCTACAAACAAAAGAAACAACAAAAATATAGAGGGAGAAGTAACAGTTTGTTCTATTCTGACAGGCAGGTTCCCTTGATGTAACCTCCACTGCTTCCTCTGTCCCCTGCACTGCCACTTTATCCTCATGTGACCACTGGGATACCTGGCCTTGTCTTCATGACATGACATAGATTAGCAGAAAGGGTCAGAGGAAAAAGTGACTCAAAGATTCATGCATAAAAGAATGGGTGGGAAAATAATGGGACTACAGACCAAAGTGTTTAAACAATTGTTTTGTTTCAAAAAAAAGAAGGTTTATGGAAATATAGTCACCCCTGTTTATCTATTCTCTGCCTTCAAGTAACAGTGGCAAGTTGAAGTACTATGACAGTGTCCAGCCCTTAAAGTAGGCCTGGCCCTCCGTAGGAATCATAATGATTCCTATGTTTTAGAAGATGCCACTGTGAGAGAACACCCCCACTACAGAAGAAAACAAAACAAAACAAAACAAACAACCCAATTATTGCTCTGTTTCTGTCCTTATAGGAAATTCCCACAAGAATAGTAGCTGTTCTTTCCCAAAATAGATTTTGGTTGCACAGCTTCCTACTGAATGCAAGCTCATTAATGCCTGACTCCTCCTGTCTTCTCATCAGCTTTCTCTCCAGCTACTGTCTTTACCAGCTCACACCGATGTTCAGCTCTTCCCACTGTTCACACCAACAACCTGAAGGAAGGTCTGGGATTTGGGCCTGTAGACCTGCTACATTCCTTAAGGTGGGTAGAAGGAAGAGGGGCTGTAGGAAATCCTGTAATTCGTGGTTGTTCCATAGCGAACCATCTGTGTACAGGGTTAGCCCAGTTAACTCCTGTCTTTCCAAACTGTTACATGTTCTTCTGAGTCCAGAATGCTCCTTGGCATTCCTGTGTTCTGTTCTGTTTTGTTTCAAATAGGTTCTTTCTCTGCTTTCCTAGCTGTCTTTCAAGTCACTTGGTAGACCAGGCAGCTAACCAGGCTGCTAACTCACACGGATCAGATCTACCTGCTTCTGTCTCATGAGTGTGCTGAGATTAAAGGCATGCACCACCATGCCCAGCTTGCAGTCTTACACAGAGAAATCCATAGTCTGTTTACACCAGTCTCAGGTAGGGAGTTTCTCTCTTGGCTTTTCTGAGAGGGGACACTCATCTTAGGGCTTCTGCCTTCTGTTCCCAGTGGGAGTCATCATCTCTTTGGGACATTTTCTCCTTTCTATTACCATTTACCATGAATTTTCTAGTAGAATTGAAGTTACTCTCACTGAAGTCACTCTCAAGAGAGTCCCTATTAACAACACTTTGAATGCAAAAAACCCCAAAAGACCAGGGTATAGACTAGCTGCCATTTTGGTATCTTTTCATCTTTGGGGTGTTTGAATTTATGAATTGTTTGTTTGACAATAGAAACGAGATCCTACTTTTAAGTAAAATTCAGGGTAATAATTTATGGCTGTGTTTTCTTTTTAAACACAATTGTAGTTCCTTTTGAGTTATTAAAGAATACACTGAATGCTGTTAAGTAGAAACACTAATGTGATGTCAAATGTTAGTAAGTTATTTAGAATAGAGGAACAAAAGAATCAGGGAGTGTGAGAAGAAAAGAAAGAAACCTATGGGATGACCCTGAGAAAGTTAATCTTCTTTGGAGATATGAAATGTTTCCTCAAAATGAATAAGTACCAAATGAAACAATAGAGGTGGCGGGGGGGGGGGAGGGCTTGGAAAGTAGATTATGGCCTCCATGTACACCTTCTCATTTAGCTGCCTGGTGATTTTTGTTTTGTCTTTTAATTTACTTCCTTGCAAAAGCTAGTGTTCCTTTGCTGCAACTCTCTTGTGTCCCAGTCTTCCCTATGGATCTCTTCAAATGGGAGGAGTTAGCTGAATGTATAGCAGACCAAGCTGTGTAAGGAAGATTAGGCCAACAGTAGTCCAATGAACATCTTAAGTAGGGGTTGATTCTGAACCATAATTGACCCAGTTGAAGACCTTACATCATGCAAGGCAAACAGAGGTCCCTGATGCCAAAATTAGGCCTTTGGTCTAGTTACTAAGATTATGTTGTTGATTATTTTCAGTCATCTTCACAGATCATCTCTATAAGGGGAGGAGATCCATAAGGAAGTTTGAAACAGAAGGGAGGGGGAAATTCAGGAGCTGTAGCAAATGGCCATTAAGTTTCTCAAGGAAGTAAATTAAAAGACAAAACACAAGTGATCAGGTCCATTAGTATTTAGATTATTGAGGACTTGTCAGGGCATATGAAGAACAAGTATGGGCATGTGCGACAGTTAAGCAGGTAAAGGTGCACGCTGCCAAGCCCAATGACCCGAGTTCTGTCACTGGATCTCACATAGTAGGAGAGAACTGGCTCTCTGATCTCCACATATAGTGCCATGGAGCATGCACAACACCCATCTGACCTGCTAAGTAAATAAATTTACAAATAAATGTAAATTTAAACTTTTTTAAAAAAAGAACAAGTTTAGAAAGAGGTTTTGTTTGGATTGTCACTCAAAGGAAATACCTGGCTAGGCTTTACGCCTGCTTATCAGTTTATCCTGTGATGGATGGCTTTTCTTGCTTTTACTGGACGTATAAAGCTAGGAGGCAATCCTAACTTGCTCAGCAACATGCAACACAATTCTCTTTACAAAAGTCAGTGGTGGTGGGGAATGGCTTTGAATACTGTTTTTGTATTATTGTAGATGTTTAAAAAGTGATAAGGAGACTATTTGTAGAGAAAACACTAGCCCAGAAGAGAGTCCCTGCTTGGCCTGATATGTTTTGAAAGTGGCTTTCAGTTCAGCATGACTAGCAAGATAACCAGGCAAATGATTCATCAGGCTTGTAACTCAGCAGGTGTGTTGCTGTGCACCCAGCCAAGGAACCTTCCACAGCTCACTTCAAGCTGTGATATCCTGTATGTAGCAAGACTAAGAGAGGAAGGCTAGGCACTCAGTCTGCCTCTTACTGGTGCATCCCACAGCCTTCCACTCAGTTCTGCTCAGGACATCTTTATTAAACATCCATTCTTGTCTAACAAATGGTCCTGGCTGCTGGTGGGAGTGCAGGAAGGTAAAGAAAAGGATGAAAGCCTAAAAGAAAGATTGTTCCTGACTGAAGGAATTTTATTAGAAAATTTAGTTTTGCCTCTTGAGAAAAAAAACAAAAACAAAAACAAAAAACTTCAACTGAAGGACATATCTAAAATTAAAAACACAGCATATAACAGTAAATTAAAAGAAATAAAAAGCTCTGAATTGAAATTTTACTCAATAATTGAGTGTATGTTTAAAACTGACATGCCCACTTACAAATTAAAAAAAGCTATATATTCAAATGTCAATTCTAGCTATCTCTGAATATGGAATTATTGATAAACTTATTTATAAAGTTTTTCTTATTTCTCTTACAATGAACAAAGTTTACTTTTGACAACAGGAAAAGAAATATTTCAAAATCATCAGAGGAAGGAATGGGGATAAAAGTGGTATCTATAGACCTAGCTCTCCACAGGAGAGAAACTTTACTCATACAGAGAGATTTCTCATAGTTCCAGGGTGTAAACCAACATATCTATCTCTCTTGGCTACTGTGTAATGTTTTCTATTGACTCGAAACTGCTATAGAAAAGGCAAAGAAAAACTTGATTTGTCTTTCCATGGCTTGGACAAACTGCAAAGAAATGCATTTTCCTTTTATTAATCTGTTTCTTAATGTATCTAAAGATGCAACTAGTTAGTGAATCCTAGTCCCCCTGGTAACAACTTCGGCACACCAGGCAGGAGGCAAATTTGCTTCAGACTGCTGTAGTTAAATGCAAGGTAATCCCCAAGTTTGGGGAGTTTTTCCATGATTCTCTAACTCTTGGCATCAGTTGCCTGACAACCCTTACAGACAACTGCTTACCAACCCTTACTGACAAAAAGACTTTTGAATTTTGACCTGGCATTACTTGTAAAGAATACTTACTCATTCACTTATGTAATTTGGAGAGTGTCTAGTAAAAGAGTTCATGGTCTTATTTGTGGGTATTTTTGTGCTGTTTGTGAAAAATTATGAAGAAGGTGCCTTAGAAACACCTGCCATGTGAGGGCTGCATTGAGCCTTATGCTGAGCTGTTGTTTGGTTATGTAACATTGAAGTTCAGATCTTGTTTAGCACCATGCTCACTTGCTTCATTTTATTTTCCTTTTCACATAGCCTGATTTTTGATTTTTGATTTTGGTTTCATCTTTATTTCAATGCTTGGGATGTGAAAGCCATTTGGATTAATCTTGAATCACATTGCAATGCCAGTTAAAACGAGATAAATGATCTCTACTATCTCCACCATCAATACTGTTTGGGTGACACATTTATTGAAGGACAATAAAGACTTATCTTCTTATATTTGAACTTGAGTACATTCTGAGAGGTCTTTGTTACATTTTATGTACACATGAGAGATGGTTTTATGAAATGTATTTATTAGATACAAACATATCATGTTATAAACATGAACATTTAACCAACCCAAATATACGTTATAAACATGAACATTTAACCAACCCAAATATACTATGCAATCTCAGTGGTTCTTTGGGAAAAAAATCCACTTACCATCTAAGAGTGCACCCAGAATTGATAAAACAATTTTTATGTATGCCGTTTTGTGTATTCATCTCTGCCTATGATGATTGGCTAAAGTAGTAAACTGGCTGGAGATTCATCTGCATGAGCATCTTTGGGCTCCAAAAGTAAGAGACAAATATTGTCTCTGACCCAATCTGAGGAATCAATGTCTGGCTTCATGGGGAGTAGTGGTCTCTTGGGTAATAATATCAGAGAGTTCCAACATTCCTGCAAGGTGAGGATAAGAGTTGATTACTCTGTACCTTAAGCTGGCTCTCACTATGAAGTGAAAGACTTGTGTGCATGTGTCGTTCTGTCAAGCTTGGATCACTACAGCTACTCCACTTGTGAATCTACAATATCTCAGAACGAAACTTCATGCAGCATCTAGCTAATCCAAGACAAACTAACCTGAAGAAACACCCAGTACCCACTCAAGCATTCATTCAATGCAATAAAATTATTCTGAATGGTAGGAACACACTTATACAATCAGTTATAGATATAAATTACAGCTCAAACCAGTGTCTTGTATAGAACCATAACCAAAGCCAAAGCCAAATCTGGAGTAAAAGCAAGAACCAGAATAAGAGTAATTGCCAGAGCCAGAGCTAGTCCCTGTGGCAGATCTAGAAGAGTCTTCAGAAGTAGAGAAGACAGGAAGGTGGCCATGAAACACAGAGGAACTTCCAAAGACAAGGCAGCTGAAATAGGAATACTAGGGACAACAGAAGGAAATCCCAAATAAGGGGCATACCCCTAGATACTGTACAATGTTGTAGACAGTTATTTATCCTCAAGGGAATTCTGAGGACATAACTTGATAACCTGAATACCCAGCCCAAAAGAATAAAATGATACCTCAATCATATGATAACCTAATGTTTTTAGAACATTGCTAATGATACCACTGAAAGAAGAAAGATGACCCAAGAAAGAAAGAAAGAACCCCACAACAGTTAAATTCCTGATACTAAAATTCCAGTAGAAAAACACAGGCAACACACACACACACACACACACACACACACACACACACACACACACACACACAGGCGAGCACACACACAAGAGAGAGAGAGAGAGAGAGAGAGAGAGAGAACTTGTCATCACCAAAAATTATTCCAACACTGGAATAGTAACCTCAAATAACAAAAAATCTAGGCCAATTTTCAGACAAATATTTCAAAAGAGCAATTTTAAGTGTATTTAAAAGAATGTATACAAATATGAGTAAATATCTGAATGAAATAAGGCAGTCAATATAGGGAGTGGAAATTGGCTTAGACATGCTGCAGAAAACACGATCTGACATGCTATATGTTTGAAGTTAAATGAATCAAATAAAAAAATTGGAGGAAAGCCTTACTGAAAGAATGGAATACCTGGAAGGTAACATATCAGGGGTTAAAGACAATGCAGAATTTGCATATCTATTTAAGTACACTGACAATTTTTGAGATAAGTATTTTTTCATTTTCCATTATATATATATATATATATATATATATATATATATATGAAAACTCTTTGTGATAGTCTTAAAACATCAAATATATGAATTATGTTCATAGAGATCATTACTGAAAGCATATAAAATACTTTCAAGGCAACCATAGCAAAAAAATTTCCAACTCTAGTGAAAAACAGGTCTTTCCCAATACAAGAGGAATACAGAATGTATAGGCAGGACTTGAAAAGACAATCCTCATATCATTTTATGTTTAGAATACTAATACTGAAGGAAATGTATGAAAAGTTTATATAGAGAAATATTAAGTCACATATATAGGTAGGCCCATAAAATTTTAAACACAAGAAGAGCTTGCAATGATGTATTTCAATTTCTGAAGGACTACAACTATGAATCTAGACTAATATACCCAGCAAAACTATCTGTCATGATTAAAGGAGAAAGAAAAACATTCCATGATAAAATCAGACTGGAAGAATTTATGACCATGATCATTGCACTACCTCTATAAATGATAATGGAAGGAATAATAAACATATACAATAGACTATAGGTAAATATTACAGATGGTAGACATCCGGTAGGCATATGAAGATTAAGAAAAGATCATATGCAGTAAAGTCAACAAAATGATGGGAAATAAAAACAAACATCTCTCTGACACTGAAAATTAATCTTATCAACTCCACAACTAAAAGATGATTGAAATATTTCATGGAAAATCATGATCGAGAGTCTGGTGAGATAGCTCAGTAGGTAGAGCACTTGTTGCCAAGCTTGATGGTCTGAGTTTTATTGTCAGGACCCTCACTGTGAGAAGGGAGAATCAAGTTCCACAAGCTGTGCTCTGCCCTTCACATGCACAACATGGCACATACACGCACATACACACAGAAATAAATAAATAATTTTTAAAAAGGACCCAAGAGAGATCAGTGAGTGAAGCACTTGCTGTATAAACCTGATGACCTTTAATGAAATCAGGAATGCACATAAAGTTAAAAGGAAAGAACAACCTCCAAGTTGTTCTCTGACCTCCAAATGAATGTCCTAATCACCACCAGCAGTACCACCAGCACCACCACCACACACATTGCATTGCATAAAACATATATATATATATATATATATATATATATATATATATGTAAAATTAATTAATTAGAAAAATAAGATCCATAAATTTGCTACCTCCAAGAATCACTTCTTTTCATAAAAGATAGACTTAAGCTTATGGTAAAAGTATGACAAATGTATTCTAAGCAAATAGAAGTAGGAAACGAGTCTGCTTGACAAAATAGTTTTCAAACAAAAATCTCTTTGGACTCGAAGAGATAAAGATGGCCATTTCATTCTGACTAAGGAATAAATACAAGTAGAGTAGAAAATTCTAAATATATACTCACCAAACTTGGATGTACCTAATTTAATAAAACACACACTTTAGAACACTTTAGACATAAAGACACAGATTAACCTCAGTAAAATTGTAGTGGATGACTTCAGTATCCCACTTCAATCATTTGGTAAGCCATTATAGCAGAAAGGAAGAAAGAAAGAAAGAAAAGAAGGAGGGAAGAAATATAGAAAGTAAAGAGAGACAAAGAAACATTGAGATGAAATGATATCACAAATCAAATGGGCTTCAATAACTGTAGAACATTCTATCCCAAACTATAAAACACACTTAACTTCTCAGGAGCCATGGAACTCATGGAGAGTAAATAGTACACTATTCAATAATAAATGTGCCACTGGAGGTATAATGTGATATATAAAATACCCTAGAATAAAATGAAAATACAACATTGCAAATCCTATGGTTTATAATGAAAGCATTCCATTGGTGGAAGAATAGAATTCTAAATGTCTGCATTAATGAATATGAGAGACCTCAAACATGTAATTTAATGATATACCACTAGACCTTGAAAAAAAAGAGTGGCCATTGTTGGATTACAGAGATTGGATTGTGGAGGCCAATTTAATAAAGCCATTTAAATTTATATCCATTCTATTAGTTCTGTTCTTCTGGAAGACCCTAACTAACTCAGAAAATTAATACTGATAGGTGGTAAGCCTGACCATGTGGTACTTAGACTTTGGAATTGGTTTGTGGGAGGAATGTGGAAAAGTTCAGAACTTTGAGCTTGAAAAGCATTTGAAGCTATAAGCAGAGCATAACAAGCAATTCTTATGGAATTCTGAGATAAATTTGGAATTTATAGACCTGGTTCATGAAAAAATTACATTGATTGAATTAACCCAGGCACAGAAAGCTAATGCTGCATGTTTTCCTTCACACGTGGATGACTGTTGCTTGCAAACACTAATTTTATGCATTCAACATGGAGTACCTGTAGGTGAAAGGAACTAGAAGGGGACATTTGGAAGGAACATTCCATAAGGGATAGGAAAGTGTGAGCATTGTGAAGGAAGAAAAGGGAAGTATCGGGGTGCGGGTAAGAAGGCATAAGCAACAAAATGTGGGAAGATAGTAGAAAGTAGGGGCGTGAGGAAGAACTAATGAAAACAAAGGGGGTTATAAAAAGATGTGTGGACACTTACCATCTTGTAGCCAAACTAAGCATGATTTATTGAGAATTAGCTTGGAGGGAATGGGAAAAATGGGTCAGTGGTTAAGAGCACTTGTTGCTCTTGTACAGGACCTGGGTTCAATTCCAGCATCCACGTGGTGTCTTACAAATCATCTGTAGCTCTAGTTCCAGAGAACTAAATGCTCTCTCTCTTGACACTTGTGGGTGTCAGGCATACACATGGTGGTGTCATAAAATAACAAGAATAAGTGACAAATGAGTTCCCAACACCAAACAAGATATTTGTATCCACTAAGAGTCTGGGGACATTGCTGAATGGGGATCTGAAAGAATGCAAGAGCTAGAAGATGGGGGGAGGGTGGCAAATTGCCATCTTCTGGGCAAAACGTAACTATAGAAAGCATTGAAAGTAGCCACAGATGTCTGTACCAGGTCTGTACAAGAACGGGCCCATCAACAATTGATCATGGATGGACAAGGGGCCTCATCCCTTCAGGCTAAGCTATTTGATATTCACAAATTCAGGGAGCTGTGGAGTCAACCCCATAAGGCTCAACATATACCTCTAAATCAAATCTCATACAAAAAAATTAACCATTTTTAAAAAGCTATGCTCTCTCCTTCCATCTTCCCCCTACATGATCCCTTCTGCTCCCATCAAATTATGGTTTGTTACAACAGCTCTTTGTTGTTGTTGTTTGAGACAGGGTTTCTCTGTTTAGCCATGACTGTCCTAAAACTCCCTCAGGTCG